AGGTTTTAAATAACTGGGATCCTAAGGTTTAAAATAAAAATAAAATTTTTATTTCTCTCCACTGATATATACTATAATAATAAAGACTTACTCTAACTAAAAAAGAAAAAGCCCCCCAAAATCTTTGTTTAAAATTATTTAAGAATATAAATAATTTTTAACAAAAAACAACACTCAAATTAAGCAGTATAAGATATAAAAATCATGACAACACAATAAAGTAATAAAATATGAATTGAACTTCTTTCATACCTATAACCACTGGTAAACTGTATAGGGGCATATGTTTTAGCCAACGTGTAAAAATAACTAGGACTTAGATATCCAGTATTTAGTTCACTTATTCAATTTTGCTCAATGTCATACAGAATGTGGAAAAATCTATGGCTTCCAATACATAAAATAAATGCAAATAATATAAAATAAATGAACTAAAGGTATTTGATAATAGATAAACTCCAGAAATCAAATGATAATGTTTGCTCTATTAAACATCTTTTTTGCTTAAAACAAATAAAATCTAGAGATAAGAAAAGTATGTACTGGGTGGAAGTAGGGAGAAGTCATTAATAAAATCAACTGCTTATAAAATATTCTCAAATTCCTAAAAAATAGTTCTTATATACAAGTTGATTCTCAAATTTCAATTTTATTTTTTCTTCATTAAATTGTGTAGTACACAGATCTCTACTACTAGAGAATCTAACTGAACCTCATCAGAACTGGAAAGATTTGGGCTGGCCAGTTAGCTCAGTTGGTTAAACGCAATGTTGTAATACCAAGGTCAAGGGTTTGGATTCCCGCGCTGGCCAGCGAACAACAAAAAAACAAAAACAAAAAAATTGGAAGGATTTAAGAAGCTAATGAGATATAATTTGAGTTATTGGCTTAGAATTATAAAATTACTTTTAAGTGATCTATAATTTCTAATTTTTACAATTTCTAAATGAACTACATCCTGATTTATTCTGAGTCTGTGACTTTTTACTATTTTAATAGGCATCATTTAGGGATTAGCAGTATCCCTTCATAACCCTACTTCATTTGTATCCTAGCCTGCTAGTATCCTGGCCAAAACAAAGAACCATCCAAGCTGATTAGGAAAGTGGTCAGATTGTACTTAGTATAGCTTTGGCATGGCCTTCTGTTTTGGGGCTTCATTTGTATCCTAGCCTGCTAGTATCCTGGCCAAAACAAAGAACCATCCAAACTGATTAGGAAAGTGGTCAGATTGTACTTAGTATAGCTTTGGCATGGCCTTCTGTTTTGGGGAATGGTACAGTGAAATGGTGTAAACAACCTACTAACCACAATGCTTTGAATTAAACATTAGAATTATGATATGTTAACTTACCAAGGATAATAAGCTTAGAAAGTTTGGAGTGCTCACACAATAAATTTAACACTGATTTGAAGATTCCTACAGAAACCAAACTCCCTTCATCTACAACCAGAACTCTAACCGAAGAAAATTTCCATGGCTTGCCCTTAGTCATCATTTTTTTCTTCCATAAATAGAAGCTATAATTGACCTATAAGCAAAACATGACATTTCTAAAATCAGGTTATAAAATTTACAAAACAACAAAAAAACTAACAGCAAGTTATTTTAAAACAAAACTCTTAAAATGGGAAGGGGGAGTGGAGTACAGAAGCCGGGAACAGGCTAAAGAAATAGAAAACACAAAAGTGATAGGGATGAATATGCAGAAAACATAGATGAAATGAATCTGAAAACAAAAAAGGATCTAATAATTCAAAAAAAATTGCTTTCTGATGAGTAGTGTGTCTAATTTAATAAGCTTCACACATAGCACTACTCCACTGCAAAAATCTCAACACTTCTCTCAGTGCCTGACCAGAGTAAGTGCCCTGTTCTTTTCCATTTCGAAATAAACCTTCTCTTGGCCTTCTGAGATAGCCCAATAACTTAAGCATTCCTCTTCTTCCAACTATATTTTTCCATTCTGGAAATAAAGGGTTGCCTTTTCAACCTAATTATGAAAATACTATTTTTTCTTTCAAGTATTCTAAACTTGCTTACCTCAACATTTTAAAAACCACCACCAACAATTACAAAATGACTAACAAAACTATTTATTACAGAGGTAATACTATTTATTATTTTTAAAATATAGATGTGGAAAAAAGTCCTTTGTAAAATTGGCAACCAGACGATGTTAAACATTTCCGTGTATAAGGGTACATCAAAAATTTCATGGAAAAATAGAATTAAAAGATAATACGAATCTTTCCATGACTTTTTGAAGTGCCCTTGTGTATCATTCCAGAAATGTTTCTATGTCATAAGTGTGGACATATATGTATACACAGGTTTTTTTTTTTTAAAAGATGACCGGTAAGGGTATCTTAACCCTTGACTTGGTGTTGTCAGCACCACGCTCAGCCAGTGAGCGAACCGGCCATCCCTATATGGGATCCGAACCCGGGGCCTTGGTGTTAGCAGCACCGCACTCTCCCGAGTGAGCCACGGGCCGGCCCCATACACAGGTTTTTTAAATGCTATTATATCATATCTTTATTTAATTTTTCTTCTAAAACTAGAGTCACCTGTCTATTAAGTAAAGCCTTCATACTTCCCACCCAAATGTACCAATTCCCTTTAATAAAACCCCTCCATTCTCTCAGTTGCTTTGTATCATGATAGAACATTTTGAATTACCTGACTTTTCCCTTTCATTTAACATATTCAATTAGTTATCTTAGAAATAAATGTTTGATTGACACTTTCCACTGTATTTCAAGTGCTACCAACTCAACACAGACCCCATCTATGAGCACCCTGATCACTCCAACAGCTTTGTTGCCAGGTTCCCCCATACACTACCCAAGATGGGACTGCCAAATAAAATATAAGATACCCAGGCAAATTTGAACTTCAGATACACAATAAATCACTTTTTAGTACAAGTATGTCCATGCAATATTTGGTACATACTTATACTAAAAAATATTTGTATTTTTTTCTCCTAAATCTGGCAATCCTAGTCGAAGAATGATAAATAAGTGGCATAAATGCTGCTCCAGTGCTCTCCCTGTGCATCTGCACTCTCCTGAGCCTAAAGGTGGCTTCAGAATGTTCTCTCAGCATCCCAAGCATTATTAAGATGCTACCAACTGGTCAGAGTTGACACATATGATGAAACATTGTATTGATCCCTCTCTGGTCTCTCCTGTTCTAATTCAATCCTTCAGACTAATCAGACATGAAGGTGTTGGACAAAAAATCATAAACTGATCAGAAGACTTCTACCAATAAGCTACATCAAACTTGGTTAGGTCTCCATTGATTCATTAGAGAAATAAAGGTAATGGGCGAAATAATTTTTGAGATGGTTTGTAGCTCTATGATTCTATGTAATGTTACTTAAAACCACTTTCATAAAGAAAGCACTCTCTTGCTTAAGAGCCTAGATGGCTCCCTAGTAAATCAAGTTCAAGTTTCATTGTTAGGTGTGCAAGACCCATAATAAAGGAGGAAATTCTGGTACCATGAAGGAGCAACAAGCTGGCAGGTCAGAAATCTCAATTCAACTCCTAGTTCTGTAATTACGATTTGTAATAATGAATATACTAATAATATTGATTTGATCATCACATATTGTACACAAATAATGAGTCAACTGTACCTCCCAAATATGAATAATCAATTATGCTTCAATTTAAAAAAAAAAAAAACACTCATAACTCTGTACCTAACAGATCTTGGGCAAGTTGTTTAACACTCTGTTGGGAAAATAGAATAGTTTCGTCGGGGCCGTCACCTCGGGTCCAGTTGGGTGTGGTTCAGCATCCTTTGCAAGCAAATTGTGTGTGTGTGTGTGTGTGTGTGTGTGTGTGTGTGTGTGTGTGTGCGCCAATGTATCTTTTTAGTTTTGTTGCTATTCTTGTGTTCTTCTTGAGAGAGAGAGGTGTAGATAGTAGAGAAAGAGAAAGAGAGAGAGAGAGATTTAGTGAAGCAGGCAGGCAGGTGTCAGCCTCAGGCATCCACCCCACGCAGCCATGCTTTCCAAGCTTTCCAACCTATGGCTCCAGGGACCTTTTTGGCCAGTTACCTAGCTCATAGACCTGCATGAAGGGGTCTGGTGACCCAGCCTGGCATGTGAAGGCTTTGTGACCCAGTCTGGACAATGGGCTTGAGGGGTCCGGAAACACCAGACCCAGTCCTAGCTCAACAATCAGCCCAGTCGGCAGGATTACAGGCAGGTAAAAGAGCCCGAAAACTGGCGTGGTCGCCTAGCTTCACAATGGGAACCCGAACAGGGACTAAGAGCTAGACAATTGGCACTGTGAGGATTCCAAGCCTTAGCCTAGCCAGACACACCCCCAAACTTCAACTGGCCCTTCTGTAAAAGTGGAGATAATATCACTTACCCACTTCACCAGTTTATCAAGGACTTAGTAAGATAATGTCAAAAATACTAACTTTAAAGTTTGAACTCCATATTAAACCAAGTTTAACTCCCATTACTCTGTAATACACAGGCTTCATTCCAATCAATGAATTCACCTCAAAACCCTCTATACACACTATGATCATTATCCTCAATGCCTTTGGAAAGGCCTTTCCCCTAAATAAACACCCTTCTTCTCACCTGAGCCTCCCTGTCCTTTAGAGTCCAATCCAATTATTACCTTCCTCAGAAATCTTCTGACCACCAAGCTCTTTTATCTATAAAATGGCAGGTCACAAATAGAGGAACCTGTCTAACTCTTTACAAGTTCAAATCCCATGACTTAGTTATAAGCCAATACTATTTTTTCAAGCATATTAATTCATTTGTAATTTTTATTATGTGACTACTATTTGCCAGGCACTGTTTTAGGTGGAGGAGATAAAGAATTACACCAGATGATCAAAGTCCTCACTTTCATGGCTTTCATTCTACAAAGTATCAACCCTTCCTTCCACCAGCAATGCTACTCAAAATATAGTTTGTGTATACTGACATGGTTGCAACCAGTCCCCATGAGAAATAGACACTGTGCCAGGATCTAAACTAACTACATCATTAAGCACAGACTTTAGTTCAGCTGACTTTTTTTCATAATAAGATGTTCTCAATTAAGGAAGCAGTGCACTGACTTACAGTTTATAGGCTGGATGTTTTGAATAACATTGATCTAAACAATTAGCTACTGCAAGGCAGGGACCCAGGAGACCTTCAAGAAATACCTACTGATTATTGTAAGTAAGAAACAAGTTTGTCTTTAAGGCAAATATTTTATCTACAGACAAAACGTTTTAACCTGACATAGTGTATAAGCATGCAGACCAGTCTTCTGTCTCAGTAAGCCAGCTGCTTTCCCTGTAGGTGCTGTGAGCAGAACTTCTATGACCTTGTCCGCCTCCAGTTGACTTTGCTCGGTAAAGGTAATCCATTCTTCTGGGACATCCTGGTCTTGTTCAAAATCTTCACAAGCTTTTTTTACTTCACTTTCTTCCAACAGCTCTATATGCTTAAAAAGATGGCTAACAATTGTGGTCTTCCCACAGCCACCTTTCCCACTTATGACCGTCACAGCACTGGAGCAAATCATTTCCAAAGCAGCCACCTGATCCTGATCCAGTTGAGCTTCACTTATTTCTGCATTAATTTCATTTTCAACATTATCCCAAATATGGTCACCACTGTCTTGTGTGTCCACAACACCCACAGAATTTTCTAATCTTGTTTCATCAGGTTTACTTTCCGTCAATGCATCATCGCTTCTTGAATTCTCAGGTTTCATGGTGTGAATAGATGCAAGCACCTTTCTGACATCAACATGTAAATGCCATGGAGGTCTCGTCATCAGGTCACATATTGAAGAGGCAATGCCTCTTTCAGCCTGGTAAAGGTCATAAGGAAAGACACAGGCCTTCTCGTATGTCACCATGCCAATATCCTTCAAAAACTTCAGAGACTCCCAAACCTCATGAAATGACATATGCTCTGACAATGTTGAAGTTAAGTCAGCTTCTTCAACACATGTGTGCCCATGTTCTCTGCATATCCGCTTCAGTGTCGAATATATTAGTAATGCATTCTTCTCCAAATCGGTCATCAGCTGGAGGAGAGACCGGCACTGGCAGAAGGCGAGCCAACTTGCCTCACATCGCAAAAGCTTCAATTCCCTGTAGGTAATCTTCAAGAAATAAAGTTTAAGTTGCTTCATAAACATTATAAATGTTGATGAATATTATCAGAATTACAGTAAAAGCTATATTATTTGTTAATAATTTTTTAAGTCCCACAAGACATGCATTTCAACTAAACTTGAAAAAAAAACTATATAACTCACATACTTAAATTTTTTTAAATGAACTATCTGTGATTAGAGATCTACATAATTTTTAAATTAAAATTATATTTTATCAAAGCAATACACATATAGTTTTAAAAAATAGGAATACCTTACCTTACCCTTGCCCATGCCTTCTAAAGACACCTCCAAAATTTATCTCCATTTTTCTAAGAACTATTTACATTATTCTCTGATTTTTTTTTTAATTTTCGATATTTATTATTAACTCCCTACTATAGAAACTCTTTCTCTATGGAAGATTGCTCTATCTTAGATCATCACCTCACATGTGCTTCTCCTCCTCCCATCTTTCAAAAAAGTTACAGTGTACATCTTATTAATCAATTCTTGTTAAACTGGTGTTTACCATGCTTAGGTAAAGAGGATTCACAGCTGAGCAACACAATGCATTATGATTACATTAATTTTGGTGTTGAACTTTGTATGTTATAGTGAAATTAATGTTTGCCTTGTTTTCTTGCCTTGTTTAGTTTTCTCTGTGTCTATTAACAATTCTGCCCAAACTCTACAGAAGAGGTAAAGAACTCCCTTCACCATGATCCACTGAGCAGATCATCTACCAGCTCAGTTTTTTTTTGTTTCGTTGTTGTTTTGTTTTTCATGGAGACATCCCTCCTGAGCCCTCTATACTTTTTATGGGCGAATTGTGACCTCCAAAATTTATATGTTGAAATCCTAACCCCCAGTACATCAGAATGTGACTATATTTGGAGACAGGACCTTTAAAAAGGTAATAAAGGATAATGTGGTTATTAGGATGGGCCCTAATCCAATATCACTGGTGTCCTTGAAAGAAGACAAGATTAGGACACAGACAGGCACAAAAGGAAAACTGTGAAGACACAGGGAGAAGATGACCATCTACAAGCTAAGTAAAGAGGCCTCAAGAGAAACCAAACCTGCCAACACCTTGTTATCCTGACACGATGTGTGTTTTTAATAACATTTCATATAACTTATTCTTGAAATGTGAACGAGCACAATTTTTTAGATTTCTAAAGTTCTCTTTTTAATATCTTATATTTAGTAGAAAGAATGTTAGATTTTACAGGGGTTTTTTTTTTCTTTAAAAAAAGGTAAACTATTACTATTATCTGCCTCTTACATTTCATCGCTCAGCCTGTTTTCTCCACTGAATGAATATGCACAGATTGAATATTCCTTATCCAAAATGCCTGGGACCGGGTGTTTCAGGTTCCAGGTTTTTTCAGATTCTGGAATGTTTGCACTAATTATATTTATGTTTATTGATTGAGCATCCCTAATCCAAAAATGCAAAATCTGAAATACTCCAATAAGCATTTAAACATGACCTTTTAGTGTCATGCCAGTGCTCAAAAAGGTTCAGATTTTGAAGCCTTTTAGATTTTGGATTTGGGGATTAGGAATGCTCAATTTGTATAAACAGAATCTTATCTTTCAAAGCATACTGAATTTACAGACATTTTACATAAGGAATAAATTCATCATTCCAGCTACTTCTCAAACTAAGAGTGTGCAAACATTCTTGGGGGTCCAAGAATTATCTCAGAATTTCTTAACTGTATTTTCATTTGGAAAACCACCTTACAATCAAGTACTACCAAGATTTAAGTATCACGTTTGGTTTCCAACACCACTGGAGCCTCAGAGTACCCCTTTACTACTCTTGGTCTCCAATAATAACAACAGAAGTGAATTCATCTGTAAGTGATGTTATTATGCCAAATAAAAATCAAATTTATCAAATGAATAAGGAAAGTTTTCAATAGTTCAAATTGGAAAGTGGGAAATTGAGTTTGCACAGCAGAAGGGACTTGCCAAACTCGTGAGAACTTTGTCTTCAAGGAGATCTATATTCAAATTGCAAATGACAAATTAGTTACAGGAAAACATTTGTCATATTAAATTAAATTATATAATTAAATTAATACCAGTAATTTGAATGTCATCAATTTTGCTATTTTGTTTTTCATTTATAAATTTCTTCACTTTATAGTTGCATAAGCTCTATAGGTATAAGAAGTTTATGCTTAGTGGTAACACTGGAAGAAAAATAAATCGACATGGGGATCCACACAAGTTTTTTTCCTTTGAAAGAGAAGCAAAAATTGTTAAATTTGAGAAACCTTGCCTTTTATAATGTTACTAAATGCTGAGAAAATGTCTTACTTACTTTACTAAATCCAAGTTTCCATGGATGTGTACCTAAAATCTCTTCTATCTTTTCCAACACCTCTTTAGAACCAGAGCTTAGGATCCGTTTAAAGTGTCGAGGCAGAAGAACCGGAAGGAATTCCATTATTTTTGGAAACTGCAAAGCCGTCATTACACTTATAAATGCAACTACACAACATCAGAAATGAACAAATTAAAACAAAAAAATGAGCCTACAGAATGACTGATTTGAAAGACTTTCTCATTTAACACAACCAGTTCAATAAACCCAAATTAAAGAAAGATTAATAAATTTACTTTAATCAGTAAAAAAAAAGATCATATTATGACAATTGTTTTTATACTGAGATGGTTTTCATTGTGTTTAACACTGAAATTCATGTTCTTTAAATGTTTAGATAACTACTTCTTAGGCTTTTGATTTCTTTTGCTTGCAATATAATCGGAATAAAAATTTGAACTCAATTGTTTAATGAAAGATTTAAAGCTAAGCATAAAAAAAATCATTTACATATTAACCTTTATAATAATTTTTTTCCAACTATAATCATTATTCTTTTGTCAAAGTCACTTATTAATGATGGCCAAATTTATTTGATATAACTAAGAAATGAAATATTCCATATGTGAATGTCCAGATAACAAATCATATTTTAAAAATTATTTTAAACCATTCTGGGCTAAAATCTTTCCAAAATGGATTACTGATATTCTTGCCTTTCTTTTCTGTCTTCTTAAGAAGAATAATTAACAAATAAATTTTTTCTCAGTGACTCAGATAGTCCCTATGAGCATAAAAGTTAGAGAGATAGAAGCACAATTTTAGAGTTGGAAAAGAACTGAAAGGATCTTAAAGATCATCTCATACAATCCTTTCATGTTACAGATGAGCTACCTGAAATATCAATGACATGCTCCAAAAGCAACAGAAACACATTTTCATCAAATCAATTTTTAAAAAATAATACTATGCCAAGATACAATAGTGGTCATATTTTTTTTGAAAATGAAAGATCTTATTTATATTAACAAAATGTATTGCCTGGACAATGTAGACAGTGGTCATATTTTTAATACTGCAGTCATTAAGTATCTCAATTACACTAAAACTCGATAAAATCACACTTACTTGTGTTTTCCAGAGGAAGACTCATCTCATGATCTGGTAGCAATTCTTCCTGTACCTTCGGTGTAGATTGTTTTTGATGTTTCCTTGCATTTTTCATTTGGAAAGTTCTAAATGTTTCCCTAAGAGTTTCAAAGTTTAAGTCTTTATAGCTTGATACTTCATTTACCCATGCTAAAAATTTATTTATAACATCACAGGAAACCTGACACTCTTTAAGAAAGAGCGCACAGATATGTTTTTGATTTGGTGGTGACATATCAGACTGTAAAAAGTAAGATGGAAATCCTTGAACATGATAGCTGCTTGATCCCACAGGCTTTGCTTGTACCTTCACTCGCCACCAAGGACCCGTTATTGGAAAACGTCCAAACACTTCACATAGCTCTTGAGTGTTTTCGTCAGAAATAAAAACTATTTAAAAAAAAATGTTAATTTGGGAAATTTAAAAACCTCTTCTCCAATATTTTATCAAACCCACCCCTTTCATTAATCCCCCCACTGCACTCTACACAGACGTGTATTAGGGAGCCTATAACATTTTATTCTGCTTGCTCGTTCATCTTTCTCTCTCTACTATACACTGTACCCTCTCCACAACAGGACAGCGTTTCACATGTCTTTGTGTTCCAAAAGGCAAGCACAGTACATGGCAAATTTCTGCTGTTCCTTCCTCTGCTCCTGTGTACATTTCTCTTTACTACTCTGACCTCAACCAATACTGGCCATCCTGCAGTCCCTAAAAAATGCCCTGGTCACTTCCATCACAGGGTCTTTGCACCAGCTGTCTGCCTTAAATGTTCTCCTCCTTACTGTTTACTATGTTTACTACAGACTTCAGCTTAACCATCACCTCCTCAGGAAAGCCTTCCCTGAATCTCACAAATATAATCTCAAAGCACTATTTAGTATTCCTTCTAAGCACTAAGTAACACTATAGTTACTCCTGTGATTATCTAAGGAATGTCTGTTTAATTCACTATAGGGTAAGCTTCATTAACATAGCAACCTCGTCATTTTATCTTTCCAGGGTATCTCAGCACCAAACACCTTGTTTGGAACATGATAGTCATTCAATAACACTTTAGAATGAATGACTAAACCCTCCACGAATGTGAACATTTTCAGTCTAAACCTGAACTGTCCGCACAAAATATGGCTATTTAAATGAAAATTAAATAAAATTTAGCTCCTCATTTGCACTAGCTGCGTTTCAAGTTCTAAATAGCCACATGTGGCTAGTGGCTATAGTACTGGACAATGCGGATATAAGACACTGTCATCATCACAGAACGTTCCACTGGACTGCACTAGTCTGCACGTTAAAATATTTTTAAATATCTGTCACGACGTATGCAACAGGTATATAGATTGTCCCTGACTTATGATAATCTGACTTAAGGATTTTTCTATCCTTAAAAAAAAAAAAGGATAAAGCAAAGCCGATAAAGCATAATAAGAAACCATACTTCAGTACCCATATGACCATTCTGCTTTTTTACTGTATTACTATCGAATACAGTACAGTATTCGATAAATTACATGAGATAGTCAACATTTTATTATAAAGTAGGCTTTGCGTTAGACGATTTTGCCCAACTGTAGGCTAATGTAAGTATTCTGAGCACCTTTAAAGAAGGCGACTATTCTATGATATTCGGTAGGTTCGGCGTATTAAATGCATTTACACAAGGTTAACGAAGCAACAACGCTTTGAGCTGTTCCCTGTGTGTTGTCGCCGCCCCCAAGTACCTGAACGTATTTGACCACAGGCAGAATAGGGTGATAATTAAAAGTCCTGATTCTGGGTGGGAATATAGGGTCGACACCCACTGTTTCCTCTACTGTAAAAGTCCTTCAAAGAACTGTGAACATTAAATGAGACAATGTATTTAAAGTGCAAGCTTAACACATAGTATGTGCTTAAAGTCACTGCAGTTATTTTTAGTGTTATTTTATTCTAAGTGGAATGAAGCAGCTAGGCCATTCCAAAGGTAGTCTGTTAGCAGATCAGGACAAAACGAAAATGGGAAACCATCCCTCCAACCTCCAATCCCATCCCCCAGGGCAGGGTGCTTTCTTACTGCGGAGTTGCCCAGGGAGGTTGCCAGCCTTTACGCCTCCGCTGCAGAGTTCCTCGGCGTCCACAAACACTGGGTCTTCGTCCTCCTCCACATCCTCCTTTAGATAGTCCTCGTCCAACTCCACCAGGTCCTTGGGCGGGAGCAGAGGTCCCTGCAGCTCGCGCAGGTGCTGACTTAACCTGGCCATACTTACTTTCCCGATCTCGACCCAAACCACTCCGGAATACCCGGGCAAGGGGCGTGGCCATGATCAGCCAATCAGATTCGCGATCATAAGACTGTCAGCTTCCGGGAACGTCCCGGCGGCGGTCGGCGTGCGCGGAGGGGCGGGGCGGCAGCGAAGCTCCGCCTCCAGCTTCCCGCGGGGGAGGGAGGGAGGAAAGGGGCGGGTCGGGGAGGAATGAGGGCGGGGAAAGATGCAGCGGGGCGGGGCGATGAGCGGGGCGGACGCTCCGCACACAGCTCGATACGGGGCACTGAGGAGACTCGGCCACTGAAGCGACCGATGGGGCACCTGTAGAAGCGATAGCCCACAGCGTCCTTTGCGGAGAGACAAACGCGGAGAAAAGCCTCGTCTACGGAGCCTAGAGAACCCAGAAAAGCAAGCCCTCGCCAATCACCCCAAAAGGACAGCATAACAGATACTCTAAAGGACAGTCGGCCACCACCCAAAACACAGAACAGTGAATCTCCCATCTGGAGACTCCAGAGGTGACTGCTTTGGACCTTCGTTTTCTTAGTATAGAGGGCGGCAGAGGAATTGAATTTATATCCTGCAAAGGCACTTACTCAAGGTACAGATTTCTAGGCCCCATTCCAGACCCGCTGGATTGGGATTGGGCTAGGACCTGGGATTCTGTTCTTTTAATGTACGTCCCAGATTGTCCATTTTGATGATCAGCCAGGTTTGGAAACCACTGGATTAGATGACATTAAAAGGCTTTTCACCCTTTCCACTGTAAGTACACCCTGGTCTCCCAGACTTCTTTAAGCTGGGCTGCTTGCTACCTGCTCACAGTGGGGCAAAGAATATCTCCTGGCAGCCCAGAGTATAGATGGGGGTGGGGAAAGGAAAGTGGTATTTAAAATTATTTTGGAGCTACGGTTCTCTTACTTGATGAAAATAGCATTTGAAAGTCATGATATTCTTTAAGGAACAGAAAAGATATTACTACTCATTACTATATTGATACTGTTTATTACATATTTACTCTATTACTAATAAACCTAAAATTAGTAAGCATACATTGTTTGCTAAATCCAAAAGCACCTTATGCTAGACTTTAATACAGATAAACAGCCAGTACCAAAGATTGAAGAAAAATTTATAGGAGAAAATACTAAAATTGATTCCCCCACCCCCACCCCCGGCTGGGTACAAATTGACAAATGATTCCTTTTGTTGCTTTTAGAAGAAAAACTTTATAGCAGCTGGCAAAACACCAGTGTTTCCAAAGATAGTCTATATGCAGTTTTGAATTCTTTCATTAACAGTCACATGACTACTGTTTCCACTTTAACATTGAATCTGCTCTGACAAATGTTACACTTGCTGTTCTCTTTGTTGCTAAATCCAATGGATACTATTTAGCCTTTGTTTTACTGACCTCTAGTAATATTTGATACTGATAACTATTTTTTCTTTTAACATTCTTCTCCCTGGGATTTTTTGACTTGTCTTCTCAGGTTTTTCTCCTAACTCTCTGGCAATTTATAGTCTCCGTGGGCTCCTCTGCTGGCCTCTTTAGTACTGGTATGTAGAGGGTACTAACATTAATAAAGCACATGTATTTCACAGGGCCTTAACCTTTAGCCTAGTAGGGCTACAGCCCTTAGATTAGAAGGACCATAGTCCTTAGGTCAGGCTATAGCTTAGTAGGATCTTTATCTTAGTAGGACCATAGTCCTTAGCTGTTAGAAGGGCCAAAGCCCTTTAGTTTGGGCCGTAGCACAGTGGGGCCATAGCCCTGTAGTTTTAGCAAGGCCAAAGCCTTGTAGTTTGAGGAAGAACCTAACCGTTTTGTATTGCACATAGAAATGCTAAGCCTGGGAAAAAACAGAAAACTTTCAGAGGACTAAAAATTCTCTGGTGTGGGTATGAGAATTGTAACACAGCAAAAGTGCTTGCTCTAAGGGCAGATGCCCTTGGTGCAGCTAAACCTAGTTATGGGAAAATATGTGCACTGAAAGCTTCAAGGCTACTCTGCCAATTAGCGGCTGGTTCCACATTTCACTTTCAGCTGCTTCTGTAAGTTTCCTAGGGAACTAAGTGTTGCCATAACAATTATCTCACTGGTTCTTTTGTATGTCACATAGCTTAGTTTTATGACTCCTTTGATGGAAAATTGCTTAAACTATTTTTAAGTTGTACCTGCATTAATGGAAATTGTTATGTAGCCAGTTTGTTTATGTTTTCACTATGATTAACCACCTGTGTTCTTTTCTGTAACTTTTTGCCTAGACAATAAAAAACTGAGAAAAGCCCTGATTTGGGGTCATTTCCCAGGAATTCCTTCTCTCTGGAAGAAGTCGTCTCCTGGGATTTAACCCCTTTGGGCCTCTCACTGCTCAGGAAAAATGGGCTTTGAGTAATCCTTTGCATCTCCATCTCCGTCACCCTGAGGGAGAGGTGACACTGGTATTCCCCAGGGTTCTGGCCTAAGCACCTTCTCACTGTATAATCCTTCCCTCAGTCATCTTTTACCTACTCAATCACTTACATGCTAATGACTCCTAATCTGATCTTCAGACCTGTGCAAACAACTGCCTATTAGATGTCACTACTGGATGCTTCTAGGCTACTTCAGACTCAACATATCCACACTGAAATTTATCCTCTGCCCAAATCTGGCTCACATTTGTGTACCTACATAGTATATTCCTGTAACCAACTTGATGTCTTGGGCTTAACAAGACTCCCATTGTTAAGCTTCTATTCATATAACTCAATTGTATTTTATTGAGTAGTTTAAGTGAGAATTCAGGATGGTGAGAAATTTGCTTGCCTGTTGTTTTCTCATTTTTTTAAGAAAATGTTAACAATGCTGTGTTTCTAGATACCATTTTTTCCATACACAGGAAGCAACAGTACTCAAACCTGGGCTGTGCATCTGATGGAGTTTGGATGTGTTGTCCCCTCCAAAACTCATGTGGAAATTTGATCCCCAATGTGGCAGTGTTGGAAACTGATTGAGTCATGGGGGCTGATCCCTCATGAATGGATTAATGCTCTCCCTGGGGGAGGGGGGATTAATGAGTGAGTTCTCGCTCTATTAGTTCCCGCGAGAGCTCGTTGCTTAAAAAGACCCTGGCACCTTCTCTCTCTCTCTTGCTTCTCTCTCTTGCCTCCTCTCGCCATGTGATCTGCTTGTACCCACCGGCTGCCTGTCATTTTCCTCCATGAGTAGAAGCAGCCTGAGGCCAGTGCCAGATGCAGCTGTCCCAGAATTGTAAGCCAAATAAAACTCTCTTCTTTATAAATTACCCAGTCTCAGGTAATTCTGTTATAGCAACACAAAACGGACTAAAACAGCATCAAAATCACTTGGAATATTTCTAAAAATTATATTGCTGGATCTGCTCTGAAGCTAGACCTCCACATATACAGAACAACATAGACATAGGGTTATTCACCATGTGATTTTTGTAATAGCAAATGATTGGAAATAGCAGAAATGTTCATCAGCAAGAGACATGGAATAAACTACGGTACATCCACACAAAGGAGTATTCTTCAGCTATTAAAAAAAATGAGAAAAATCTCTATGAACTGATAAGGAGTAGTTTCCAAGATATGCTAAATAAGAAAAATCAAAACATAAAGTAATGCATTTAATTTTATTTGTGTGTTTGTGTATTTTTTGCTCAGACAAGTAGCAGCAGCACAGGAAATGGAGTTTCCTTCAGAAATGGCTGATTCCAGCTATGGGGCAGGGAAAGAACAAGGTGAACCTGAGACTTCTTATTCCAGAAAGCAAGGAGGCACTCAAAAACCAATGGAGTCATGATAAAAAGATTCAGGAGCCAGCTTGAAGGCCAAATTTTGGGAAATTTGAGTATCAAAAAAGAATAATGACTGCATTTGATTGTAACATACTGAGTAAATAAAAATTGATGTGTCTATTGTGATACGCACAAAAATATTTAAAAGGAAAGGAAGAAAAGAATACCAATTAATAAAAAATTTAAGAAATTCTGAAAGTAGAAAACACCATTTTGAAACCCCTAGTATAATAACTGATTCAAGCAAGGATCACCAAAGGATACTAACATCATTAAATGAAAAGTCATTGGGGGGGCCGGCCCGTGGCTCACTCGGTAGAATGTGGTGCTGATAACACCAAGGCCCCGGGTTCGGATCCCACATAGGGATGGCCGGTTCGCTCACTGGCTGAGCGTGGTGCTGACAACACCAAGTCAAGGGTTAAGATCCCCTTACCGGTCATCTTTAAAAAAA